CTAACACTGAAAAGCACTGGTTTGAATTTCAGCCCTCCCTCGGTGTTTGGTGGCACACTGGCAGGGTTGATTTGCAAAGGCTTTTTGTTATTATGATTATTAAAATCCCTGGCAGTCATAAATGATGGGGTTTTACTTGCAGGGTTTTTTGTTTTGAAGAGCATAAGTAGGACAGCTGAGGAATTCTGGAGGCACAGTGTGTAACACATCTATATAACAGGTGTGCTGCTAGACAGAGGACAGGCAGATGTCTGCAGTTTCTCTTTGAGGTCATGGTAGGATCCTAGTGAAAACAAAAAGAAAAGCACTAATATGGATATAAGTAGCTCATATGCACTTTATGGGAACCTTCTGCTCCTCTCATTTGAAAATAAAACACCAGTCTGTCAAGTTAGGTCCTTACTTCATGAGCTTTTGTGGAAGTAATGAATCAGGTGGGGGACACAGCCAATAAGATGCATCTAAGGATAGAAGTACTTCAATTCCACCAGTGTCGTACTGAAATCACACTGCTTTCTGTGAAAGACAATTTAAGGTGACCAGTTTTCTTTTACACTAAGAACTAGGATGGTTTGCACAGGCAGTTATGTCTTGACTGTGGGAACAACACCCTCTATAGAATCATTGGATTGTTTTGGTTGGGAAAGACCTGTAAGATCATCAAGTCCTACTGTTAACCTGCCAAGTCCACCACTAAACCATGCACCACATCTTGCATGTCTTTTAAATACCTCTAGGGACACCCTGTTCTAGTGCCTGACAACCCTTTCAGTGAAGATGTTTTCCCTAATATCCAACCTAAATCTCCCCTGGTGCAACTTCAGGCCATTTCCTCATATCCTATTGCTTATTACTTTGAAGATGAGACCAACCCCCACCTTGCTACAACCTCCCTTCAGGTGGCTGTAGAGAGTGATAAGGTCTCCCCTCAGCCTCCTCGTCTCCAAACTAAACAACCTCAGTTCCCTCAGATGCTTTGCATTTGGTTCTTCTTGTAGATGGGCTTCGCGTTTGCTAACCTCCAGTGAAGTGGGACCTCCCTGGTTAGCCAGGACTGCTGATAAATGATGGAAAGAGGCTTGGTGAGCACTTCTGCCAGCTCCCTCAGGACCATTGGGTGAATCCTATCTGACCCCCTAGGGTTGTGGGGCCAGTTTTACCACACTCTGTGGTAAGAGCCTTCTTGATTCTGCCTGCAACACTTCTTTCCCTCTTCAGGCTAGGGACAGGGATCTGAAGAGAACTGTAGACACCTAAGCAAATGTTTCACGAGCCAAATTTTCTAGGTATTTTAGGTGCCCCCAGGGCTAGGCAGCAGCAGAAATGATCTTGAAGGCTTTGTTTCAGACTTGCTCGCTTCCAGCAGCCCTTTGGCAGCTGTCATTATGCAGTTAGTCCAAGGTCTGTGAGTCAAGCAGAGGCTTGAATAAAACATTTCTTTCTAACTACTGTTGGCAGAAGCCAGGAGTATCATGGTTAACAGTGCCATCTGATAGTGTGTTGCCTTTTATTTTGTTCATGCATGGGGCAATCAGACTTGATTAAAAAAAATAAAATTATGCAAAAATTCCAGATAGCACTGGCCAGGTCTCATTGACTGTGTATATAATAAAGTGGGTTTGGCTGAAGAGGGAGCATTGGCTCTGAGCATGCAGCAATGCAGACTAGTCTAATAGACACCGCACCTGAGGAGGGCTGCATGTGTAATGTAAATCTTAAAAAAAAAATAATTATGCTGCTCTTGACCTTGTATAAATGTTACATAAAGCATGTTCCTCCTTGCTTTGGTGGAAAATCCTTTTGCGTTGTCAACTGCAGCATCCAGGTGTCTCTTTTGTAAGTACTGCTGTTTGTCCCTCTTCATCTGCTGTAGGAAGAGGACTTTGTGGTGTGTCACAACCCAGGTAGGGCAACCAAGGGAGATTCAGATTGGACCCCCTTGCTTTCTAAACTCCTCCTCATAGAGGAGCCTAGGTGCGGCTGGATCCAACCTTAGTCTCAGACCTGGCCCTTCCAAGGAGAGTGATTAAAATGTGTTCCAAGGAAATGCTCAACTGTCTGATACCCCATGATCAGATAAAGGTGAAACAAGACACTCAAGGTCTGTATTTGAGAGCTAGGTTTAATTAAAGCTATAGAAGGCAGGAATATATACTTCAACTATTACCTCAGGCTGTGTGATCATAAAGGCTGATAATTTAGATCACAGAAGTCATAATACAGGTACATTCAAGCTGCATGACCTAAGTAAAATCTTTGTTAGACCTTGTGCTGCTTAATTGATTTAAGGAAGGAAGAAAGAGAGAACAGAAGAAGAATAGAGTGATAGATGATAGAAAATCACCAGTCCTGGATCCAGCGTTGGTCCTGCCAATGGGGGGAGGGTTGGTGTCAGTGAGGCCCCCCAAGCTCACCATCACAGCTTCTCCTCCTGTAGGCCTGTTTCACTTAAACAGTTGTTTCTCAGCGATGAGTAAGTGTATTGAGACATCACCAATGAGCACCTGGCATGAGCCTGTGCCCTTCCACTGTTATCTCAGTCACTGTACATGCAGGCCATATGCAGCCATCAGCATTGTCTCCAGCCTCTCTGGCAGTCCAGGCTTTGTTGGAGGGCTTACAGTGGTGCTTCAATACCACCTCCCAAGTGTGGGTCCTGAGGGCTGGTCCCTCACGTGGTGTTCTCGGGCATTTTTGCCAAGCTATTTTCTGAAGCTGTTAGTCTGATGTAACATGCATGGCATCCAGATACAGCACGTGAGTAAGAAGGCTGGCATAGAGAGGCTGTTATCTCCTGAACTGAAATAGGAGAGGCCTCACAACGTTGTTTCCGGTGAACAGCTCTCACACTACTTCAGTGCCATCTACTGACCGGTACTTAGACCATCTGCTCTTCACTTGTTTGCTTTGTTAAAACAATTTTTCTTTTCATTAAACTTACCTGATGAAGTTGTTATGCTCTGCCACAGTGGTCCTGAATGTAAAAGAGTATTTCCCTTCCTACAGACCTTGTGACAGCAAATTCCAACTTGCTAACAGCTGTGTTTGTAACTCTACTGGAACAATCCCCCTTAGGCTTCTTTGCCATTCACAGAACAGTTTAATGAAATTATTTTTTTGCTATGTTCAATGCATATAAAGCAGGGGATTAGCAGGGATCTTTCAAATCTTAAGCTAATGTTAAAACAAAAGCATTTGGGAGGAAAAGACAAGTTGGAAATGGGAAGAGAGGCTCACAACTACCAGCAGGCACAAGCTGTTATCCCCTAATTGTTTTCAAGCTACAACAACAAATTGCTGGGCTTGTACTATTTTAAATTCTCACATAGGCAGAAATTGGCCCTGTTCTGCTAGACTAATTTCAGCAGTAGGACAGCTTGGCTGAACAAAAGGATTTTCCATGTGCAAAGCCCAAAGAGGTTAATAAGAAAAGAGTTAGGGGCCAGACCTCAGAAGTGGTGAGACCTGGGGTTAGGAAAATCACAAAGCTGTGCCATAGTGTAGATGTGGTACAAGTAGAGGGCTTTGAGGGCTGGATTATGGCTGGGACTTCTTGGTCTGGGCTTTTGAATATTGTCTTGCCTTCCTCAGCTCTCCATAATGATAAATCTAATTACACAAGCTTTTTGCAGCTGACCCAAATTCCATCCTATGGATTTTCCAATCCATTCATTAGAGCCTACTCTTGTTTGATTCCTAATCCTTTAATGCACACATGAATCATCCATGTTAAAATAAATAGTTTTAAATACCACGGGAAAGCTGTAACAGTAAATTCAGTGTCTCTTCCACTCTGTTCTTTAAACTCATTCTCTGCCAGTTTTCTTTTAATGGGCATTGAAAAATACTATGTGTGCTGATCATCAGTGAGAACATAAAACAACAAGCCCAGAGATGTAGTCAGAGCTGAATAGGCTGAGGAATCATAAACCTCTGATCAGTGTGTTTCTGAGTCAGCAAAGCTTGTAACAGGCCAGCTCCAGAAAAAGGACACAGCAGGCACCTAAGCCCAGAACTGCACACCAGCACTTTCCGCTGGGCAATCTGGGATCCACGGATAGAACAGAATGGTTTCTGCTTCCTTGCAGGGTCAGATCAAACTCCTGGCAAAGAGCAGTCTTGCTGACTTTTCTCTTGAAACTATGGCAGTTCACCTTTTCCCCTCTGACTTCATTCACTGCTTCAGGATTAAAAAAAACCACGAAGTGTTTTCCCCCAGCCTAGGTTTGTGCCTTTGTTTGCCTGAGCATCCCTCTAGGCCATGGGCTGGGTTACATCAGACATTTCCTCCAGTCTGCATGTTCTGACCTTGCAGTGAGCCCAGGAGCAGCAAGGACAAAGTTCAGGGCTGGAAGGAGAGCAAATAGAGAACAAATACTGCAGGGAGTGACAAACTGTAGGCTTGCCAAGGGGCTATTTGCTTCTGAGAAGCACTAAGCAACTTCCAGTTGTGGCTGCTGCTCTGATCCAGTTCCTCTGTGGTCAGTGCAAAAGGTGACTTTGGTTCAGAACTTCATGGGGCAATAATATCTCCCCTGCTTTTGAGTAACCAGGATTGTGTGAACAAAGGAAGGCTACAAGCACCTGTAGCACTGGAATTTCCTGTGTTGGTTGTTATTTGCACTCTTAAGTCTCTGACACTATTTGACCCCTCTAGGTTGCTGTGGAAGAGAAAACATCATACTCTTCCCTAAGCATACTCATTTCTAATGACTAAGGACACTTACTTATGCGATAATGTAATTATTTCCCTGGGCAGGGAGAGGGATCAGGGGCAAAAGCAACATTTCAGAGACTGGAAATAGAGGTTTTTGTAGCACTGAACAATTGCAGGTTCTTGCTGAACTGCAGCTCAGCAACTGTGCTATGAACTGTTCCCTGTTTTGAAATGAACCATCAAAGAGGTCTTGGGAGGCATTTTTTTCATAGACATATACCTGTGCTGCAGAAGCTGCATCAGGAGCTTAAATATTTATTTCCCTTTTCTGGTCCTTTTTTAGAGTCAAAGATGAACTTGGATGATTTCATCAGTATGAATCCCGAAGTGGGATGGGGCTCAGTGTTCTCCCTTCCTGATTTTGTGCATCGATTTGGCAGACAGACTGATTACAGCTATTCCTTGGAAGGACAGTGAAGCAAACAAAGAAGTTCTCCCTGCTTCTGTTTTGAGTGGGTGTGTTTTGTTTTGCTGCTCTTACACTGTATTTATGGTTTACATTTCTTTACATGGAAGTAAGTATTTGGGCAAATAGAATACCCAATCAGAAATATAATGAACTGAATAAAAAGTTTTATTTTGATTATGTAACAAACTTGTTTTTTAATATGTCAAATGAAAGGCAGACATCCCACTGTAAACATATTACTTTTACAGCTACTGTGCCCAACTTGAAAAGAGCATTTACAGACTCTAAGAAAAACTTCTGGATAAACATGTGCATACCAGTACTGAACGTTTTAGCTCAAATTGTTAATATCACTACATTTTACAAGTGAGATACAATGTATTTTCTTTGTATGATGATTTCTATCACTTTTATCAAGAGATGGCACATCTCAGTTTTGTCACCAACTTTATCAATTAGGCTTTTTTAGCAGAAGCCTAAGGGCCAGACCCACAGAAAACTGTGTCCTGGGCTGCATCAGAAGGAACGTGGCCAGCAGGTCAAGGGAGGTGATTCTGCCCCTCTACTTCATTCTCATGAGACCCCACCTGGAGTACTGTGGCCAATTCTGGAGCCACCAACACAAGAAGGATATGGAGCAAGTCCAGAGGAGGGCCACGAAGATAATCAAAGGCTGGGAGCACCTCTGCTGTGAAGACAGGATGAGAGAGTTTGGGTTGTCCAGCCCGGAGAAGAGAAGGCTCTGAGGACAGCCTTCCAGTACCTGAAGGGGCTACAGGAAATACGGAAATACGGGGTGGAGCTTTTTACAACAGTGTGTAGTGATAAGACGAAGGGCAATGGCCCTAAACTAGTGCAGGGTAGATTTAGATTAGACATTAGGAAGAAATTCTTTACTGTGAGGGTGATGAGAGACTGGAACAGGCTGCCCAGGGAGGTTGTGGATGCCCCATCCCTGGAAGTGTTCAAGGCCAGGTTGGACAGGACTTTGAGCAACCTGGTCTAGTGGGAGGTGTCCCTGTCCATGCAGGAGGGTTGGCAGTAGATGATCCTGAAGTTCCCTTCCAACCTGACACGGCCCGGATTTAATAACCCAGGAAGGTTAGAACTGGATCCCCTTGCTTTCTAAGCTCCTACTGCAATAGAGGAGCCAAGGACAGCTGGATCCAGTCCTGTTCGTGTCACAACTCAGACTGGGCAGCCCAGGGAGATGAGGACTGAACCCCCTTGCTTTCTAGACTTCCTTCAGAGAGGAGCCCAGGTGCACCTGGGCCCAAAATCCTTCTCTCAGACCTGGTCTTTTCCCAGAGTATGACGGTCCAAGCAAAAGCTCAACCGTCCAATGCCCCTTGATCAGATTAAGGTGCAGCAACACACAAGGTCTGCTTATAACAAATAACACATTTATCACATTAGTAGGAGTTAATATTGAACAGCCTAAACAAAACCACCTGCATATATATATATATTAAGGAAAAGGGGATGAGAAGAAAAAGGTGAGAGGAAGGGGGGTGCAGAAGGAAAAGGATAAAAAGAGAGAGATAAAGAGGACAGGAAAGTCACCGGTCCTGGATCCAGAGTCGTTGGTCCAGCCAACAGGGGAGGGTCGGTGTCTGTGGTCAGTGTTGATGAAACTCCCCAAGCCTACCATTGCAGCCCCCTATTTTATATATCGCAATGAGTACGTGTGATTGAGCCATACATGTGTGAGCAGCTGGAGTGCACCTACACCCCCTCTGCCCCTTGATCCTTGTCCATCATTGTCATTATCTCAGTCCTTGTCCTTACCTCATCTATGCAGGCCTGATGCCTATGCAGACCATTCCTGCAGTCTCCATCCTTCCATGCAGGCCTTTTGGGATGCATATGAGCAGGGGCTACAATGGGGTTTCAATATCATTTCCCAAGGTAGGTCTGGAGGGCTGGTCCCTCACACAACCCAAATCATTCTATGATTCTATGAAAGGGAACATAAGACTCAGTAGTATAATCTTGAACTCCCAAGCACTGTATAAAACCAGGTAGGTATCTAGGCTTCTGTCCTGCACGAGGGGAGAATTAAATTTCTGCCATGTCATTTAAACTGTTCTAATGCTGACAGTTGCGAGAAGGTGCAGTTTCTTTTCTTTCTTACACAGGCTGTGCATTCTCATCTCCTCCTGTATGTTTGCACTTGGCTTTCTCCCAGCCCCATGGTAATCCAGGGTAGGAAGCTAAACCAACATAAAGAAGTTTTGCTTTTTCCTGCCTCTCAGCTCCTAGAACTGGCTTGCCATGAGGTCAGACAGCTGCTCTTGCTGGTATAAGGAAATCAGCAGGGACATATGGTTGGGGGGAAGGGAATGAGAAAGCCTCCCCCCTCCAGGATTGCTTGCTGCTGACTTTCCTTAGAGGTGATACCAAGCTGCTCCTTTGCAGGGAAACCTAGGAAAGCCATCACATTGATTGGTTTGGAGT